GAGTGGTTTTTGATGTAATTTTTTATACTCTTGCTATTATTATTTGCCAAGAGAGAGTCACAAATATGTAAAGAGTACAGCATGAAACCACCAATAGAGGAAATGAAAAGTTATTCTTTAATTTGATAACAAACCAAAGAAACTTGTTATAAATACTAAACAAATATTAAACTATGGAAAACATATCTAGTTTTTCTTTTTTGTAAGTGGTTTTTGAGGTAATTTCTACTTTTACTGTTATTATATGCAAAGAGAGCGCCTAGTATGTTAAGAGCATGCCACATTATTTTGATTAGTTTCTACGGCTCACCTTTACGTCCAGCATTTTTTAAACATTTTTATAGAAATGTAAATGTATTTGCTTGGAATATTTTTAAAACTGCAATAATCCAATGGGTTTATATTTTTATGTATATTAATCCCTAATATAAGAAAAGGAGAGAGAAATTAACAGGCCATAATGCAATTTAATTTTAAGAGAATAAGGTTTTGCTCTATAATATAGAGTCTATATGCAAATCTGTTTAAGGGAACTACTACCAATATTTCTGACATATTTTTCATTTTATTGGATTCTTGGTATTTCTAATTCCAATGAGACCCATTTGCATTCAAATTCCAATTGAAGAAGCATTTTTTATTATTATTTTCATGGGAATTATTTTCCCATTAGATTCTATTGTTTTCCTTCACATATCAATTGATTGATTGGAAAAAACTAATCGAACAAACAAAAAAAATTGAGAAAATTCCAGATAATACTGGTCAAGTTTTTTTTGCTACATTTCAGAATTCCCTATTCAATGCCACAAACTAGTAATTGGCAAAAAAATATACAAAAAAGCTTTTATTTAATTGTTTGTGGGCTTGTGTGTTTTATGATTGTTATTTCATTTTCTTTTTTGTGGGGTGGTGTTAATAAAATTGTTTTCGATTTTTATGGCCGGGGTCCGGGGTCTACGACATTTTTCTCGTGATGTCTGCGGACGGGTAACATGACTTTTTGAATAAACAGTAATTTGTATTTATTTGTTCGCTAAAATCACTTTGAACAAAAAAGCGTATAGGCGTTAAAAGTCCATTAGAAATTTTTTGCTAAAATGGAAATGAATGGGGAAGAGGAAAAGTTTTTTTGTGTTTTGTGCAAAATTTTCTTTTTTTGAGTTTTTGTGAGAACAAAAGCAACAATTTGTATTGGCATTGAAAAGCGTCTACGCAACATTTAAAGTGCAATGTCAATGTTATAACAAACAGACAGATACAACAACAATAATATTAACAAAGAATGTCTTGTCGAGGCAAATATTTGCTAATATCTACCCAACTCTGGCCAATTTTTATGTGCTTCTACACAAGTTTACAAAAACATTTCAATAACCCAAAATAATGGACAACAAACTGCAACAAATTTCAAAATTTGCCGCCATAATTTTTACATTTTTTTTTTTTTCAAAAAATATCGGAAATAGCATCAAATTTTAGAATAAATTTAGATTTGTTCGAATTGGTCATCTCTGACACTTTGGTAATATTTTACATTTTTTTTTTAAATTTTACCAATTATTTTTTTTTAAGTTAAAATTAAATTAAGTTAAAATTAATTAAATTAAAATTTTTTTTATTTTTAAATACTATTTTTTTAATTTGAAAGATTCTAAAAAAATTCAAAACAAATGTATCCACATATTTTGTAATTTTTTTTTCTTTTAAAATTTTATTTCTTTTTTAAATTTTACATTTTTTTTAAATTTTAAAAATTTAAAACAAATATGTCCACGTATTTTTTAAATTTATATCTGTTTTTGCCTAATGGCAAATACAATTTTCTAAATGTCTGAATTGTCAAATAGTGTAAACATGTCATTTTTTGCACATACCAATACATACACACATACCTTCGCACATATATAGAGCATTTATCTATCTACACCTATGTCTAAAAATAGTTAACGTCATTGTTTTTCCACTTTTCCTATTTAATTTTCCCCGGCATATGCCATCGATCTGTTTTGGCTACAGGAGATATGTATAGATTTGACTACATGAAAGACAACAACATAGCCAATGAACATTCCCAAGCAAAAATGCTAATACGTAATTAACGTAATTTAAAAAAAAATTGGCAAACTCGCAAGTGACAAATATACAGAAGACATCATATGTATATATACATATATAACGGAAGACATATATAATTGTTATAATTTCATTATTTTCTTTTTCTCTATTATATTTTTTAAGTGCAAACAAATGCTTGTGTTTCAATGATTTGTTGTTTGTTGTTGTTTGACACAAAAGCTTTGTTGATAAGATTCCTTATTCCAACTGTTTATTTTTGACTTATCTTGAAAATATATAATTTAATTTTTAATTACCGTCTGGAATTTGGAAGACTTTATAAAAGTGTCTCTGCCATATCACGTGAAAACTTGTGGAAATAAACTTTTCAATTGTTTTCAAAAAACAAACAACAATCCTGGTTTTCGAAAATAACCTGAAAACCTTATTTTGAAATCAGCTTTGCTTTTAATGCCTCTTTCTCTCTATGTTTGCTTGACAATTGAAATCTTAAACATATGTAGATTAATTTACAAAGAACAAACTCACCCCTCTTTCTTGCTCTCTCTCTCTCTCACCTACTCTGTAGTTGTGTGTTAATGCGTAGAAAAAAAGTAAACGACCCGACCAGTAAATGGCTGATGAAATACTATATATGAATTGCCTTAGACTTTCTTTGAGTGGAACATTAGGTGTATTTTTTTTAGGAAAAATTTTATTTTTTAATTTTTTTATTAATTTTTATTTTTTATAAATGAAAAAAAAAATTGCAGAAAAAATGTACAAGAAAATGTATATATGTAAGAGTCCAGCAGACATAATATACATTTGAGTAAAATTTTATTTTATATTTTTGTTCGGAAGCTAAAGTGATTTCCACAGACGGGCATCGCTAAATCTACATAGAATTTTATACTGATCAAGAATATCTATACTTGGTGGGGTCTAAAATGTACATTTCGAGGTGTTACTATGGTGGAGGGCATAAAAATATAAGTATTATAGCATGCTATACTTTTTCAAAACACAATATTTTCCATAGAACGGTAAAGTGCATTAATAGAATGTGCATATAATTTTTTATGCCATATCTTTCTCTGGTCTCTTTTGACAATGCGATGTGACATTTCTAATGGGGAATTTTTTTACACGTTCCTGATTTTAGGAGCCATATTGGACCATGCTCTTTCACTTTTTGTTCATTTTTACTCTTGAAATTAGCAAGAGAAACAATTTTTAAGTTGCCACCAAACTATCCTTCAATAACGAAATACTTATTTTATAACATGCTAGATTTTTTTTATTTATTGCATTGCGCGAAATCTCTTTCTCGGGTCTCTTTTAGTAATGAAATTTAAATAATGTGATATGACATTTCTCGTTGAGGATTTTCATCTCCCACATTCCTGTTCTACGAGCCATTTTCCATTATGATCTCTCTGTTAGATTTTACTCTCTTTACCAAGAGAAACATTTTTATGCCAATTTTTTCATAGATGAGAGTCATGAGTAAAACAGACTACGAATAATGTTCAACAAATGTTTTAATCAAATATTTTTTGCGCTTATTTTGATTATATATTTGTCAAAAATGATTAAATAAATACAAATTCAACACAGGAAATTTATTTAAAAGTTCTCTTAAAAATATCTCTTTTATAATTTTTGCCATCTTTGCCTCATTCAATGAGGAAATACAAAAATGTTATAACATGTTTTATTTTATTTTTTAATTAATTACATCCGTTCATTACATCTCTTTTTTATGGTCTCTTTTGGCAATGAAATTTAAGCAATGAGATGTGTGACATTTTTTTTTTTTTTTTTTTTTTTTTTTCATCTCTCATATTCCTCCAACTTTCCCATTGAAGGGAAAGTTTTCTTTTATTTTGTTTTGGGTTAACGAATTCCATTGCAATTTCCCCTTTTATTTTGCAACGTGCGTCGTTCATCAACGTTAATTTTCCTCTTCACGACATTCATTCATCAATTCATGCATTGTTGTACAATTACTTTGTAGCACAACACTTGGCTGCCAGTTGCTCTCTTAACTGTATTGTGCAAAAGGAAGAGATACTAAAGCAAGAGATTTACCTATGCAAAGGAAGAGTTTCTCTTTCTCCCAAAAATTTTGTGATAATGTTGTGCTCTTTGATGCTGTTGGGTTATGCTCTCACATGGTGTTCATGATTATTTTGGCTCTCTCCTTTTAACAGATTTCGTTTTCCTCCGTGTTTTTGTTGCTGTTGTTGTTAATTTTTTCGTTAATTTCATTTTGGACTGGCAATTTTCAGTTTGAATTTAGCCATGCATTATTATTGTGTGCATAACAATTCGTGGTGCGGTGGTGCTCTGATGTTGTGCTGTTATTAGTTAAGCGCGCAAGCCAATCAACTCAAACCAAGCGAACGAGCAGCCAACAACGCAAAGCAACCAGCCAACTCATTGCATATAATGTCGTATTACGTGATTTTTTGGTTGTAATAATTTTCCCTTTTTCAATTTTTTGCGATAAAAATCTTAAAATTTCAACAATTGTTGTGGCTTGTGAATAAATCGAGACAATAGCGCAAGTGGTGGTGAGGATAGGCGGTGTTTTAAATTGCTTGCGCGTGGCATTCACCTAGAGCAGCAGCATCAGAAATTGCAACTATCTCCCCCCCAGCTGGTGGCTGGCTCTCACTCTCAAATATCACCAAAATTAGTTGTTTATTTGTCTGTTGTTGTTGTTTGAGAAGTTTTTCGTTTAGTTTTGCCATCTATCTATTTTATTATTTTGAAAACAAACCACCAAGATGCTTCAATTACTTCAAGATGAAGATGAGCCTGTATGTATGCTTTAATGTTTATTTGAAATATGTAAATTTTAGTTCACACAAAAAGTATTTTATGTTTTGAGAATTTAAAAAATTATTTATAATTTTTTCTTTTTTTAATTTTAGTACCTCGATATTGGTGAGGACATGAACGTACCTGATGATTTTACACCAACAGAATTACAAAGTGGCATGTGGTGGCGTCATTTGGCAGCTGGCGGTGTGGCTGGCGCTGTATCACGGACATGTACTGCACCCCTAGATAGAATAAAAGTGTTTTTGCAGGTAAATATTAGCACTTCCTATCTTTCGAAGGCGATATTAATTCCATTCTCTCTCTTTTCCTTCTAGGTTCAAACACAAAAGACAGGAATCTCAGATAGTTTAAGATATATGCTAAGAGAGGGCGGCCTACGAAGTATGTGGCGCGGCAATGGCATCAACGTTTTGAAAATTGCCCCCGAATCCGCACTGAAATTCGCCGCCTACGAGAAAATCAAACGACTGATACGCGGCGATGACAAACGACAAATGACAATTGGGGAGCGATTCATAGCCGGTGCCGCAGCCGGTGGCATCTCACAGACTGTCATCTATCCCATGGAAGTATTAAAGACACGCCTGGCCCTGCGCAAAACTGGCCAATATACGGGTATTGTGGATGCGGCGAAAAAGATCTATGTACACGAAGGTGTACGCAGCTTTTATCGCGGTTACATTCCAAATATGTTGGGCATTATTCCATATGCTGGCATTGATTTGGCTGTCTACGAAACGTTGAAGAAGAAATATCTGAGTAGTCATAATACGGAACAGCCAAGCTTTTTGGTATTGTTGGCGTGTGGCAGTGCCTCGAGTACGCTGGGTCAGGTGTGTTCGTATCCGTTGGCGTTGGTGAGGACACGACTACAAGCGCAAGGTGAGAAAAAAAAAACCAAGAAAAACAATTTTGAAAGAAGGGAAAGAATGGGAGTGGACGAATTTCTTTAATGGTCTAGGATTGGAAATTTGAATAGAAATTTTTATACCCTCAGCCATATAGTGAGAGAGGGAGTGTTTATATCATTTGATACGGCCAAAACGTGCCTCATCGAAATAACGATTTTAGACCCCAGGTCTCTTTGGACCAAATCCGTTTCAGGACATTTGGACTCGATCTAGCAATGTCGGTCCGTCCGTAACTCTCGAAGGGAGTATCCGATTTGATCCAAACTTGGTACATCGTAATATTATTATTTATTTTACATCGAGTTTGGAGATGGGCAATATCGGTCCACTCCTGGTGGTACCTCCCCCACAAAATGTCAACATTTTCAAAGAAACTAATTTACTTCACAGAAAGAGAACGGATGATCCGATTTTGTTCCAACTTTGCGAATCCTAATATTTGCATCAGAGCTAGGTTAGGTGCGAAAATGGTCGGTCCACTCCATCATGTACCTCCAACACAAAGGGTGAAAATTTTGAATAATTATAACTTTTATAAAATGTGATGTAAGAGTCCGGTTGTCTTCAAACTACACACATCGCAATATTTTTAATAACCCGAAGTCTGGTGTGAAGATGGGATACATCGGTCCACTCCTTTCGGTACCTCCCACACAAAGGGTAAAATTTTTGAATATTTATGAAGCTCATAAAACGCGAAATTAACATCCGATTCCATTGAGACTTGGCACATCTCAATCTTTCCATCAACACAAGGTCTGTTATAAAGATGGTAGAGATCGGAACATTCTTTCTGGTACCTCACCCACAAAGGGTAAAAGTTTCGAATAATCAAAAATCTTCAAATTACACAAATCACGATATTTTTTTTAACCCAAGGTCTGGTGTGAATTTTGGATACATCAGCCCCCTCCTTCTGATACCTCCCCCACAAAGGGTCAACATTTCGGGTATTCATGAACCTCATAAAACGCGAAATTAACATCCGATTCTATTCAGACTTGGTACATCTCAATATCTCCATCATCACCAGATCTGTTATAAAGATGGTAGAGATCGGACCATTTCTTCGGGTACCACCCCCAAATAGGGTTCAAGATTTTGAAAACAAAACGCTCAAAGAAAGCGAAATAAACATCCAATTCTCTTCAAATTTCACACATCCAAATATTTTGCTGATGTTGTTGGTTAAATCTGGTACCTCACCGTCAGAGGTCACAAAATTGCAGATATATCATATAGAGTACAGGAAGTAGTCGATATAGTCCCAAACTGGCTCGTTGTAATATTTATATGAGTTTTAGGTTATATACGAATGGGTCAATATTGGTCAATTGCTTCGAAACTTCCCCACATAAAGGGTCAACAGTTTGAAAAATCATAACTCAAGGCTAGGGGCTATACATCTGTCGGCAAAACCGACTGATACCACTTTATTTGTTTTACCTGAACTTTGTACTAATTTTGTCCTTCTCTCTCTCTCTTTGATTTCAGTCGTTGCAAAATCCAAACAAAGTCCGCCCATGGGTGCTATACCATTGAAACAGGCCGGTGCCGCAAATGATGACAACATGATGGGTGTTTTCCGTAAAATCTTGCGTACCGAAGGCATTTGTGGTCTCTACCGTGGCATTACACCGAATTTCATTAAAGTTTTACCTGCAGTCTCCATTAGTTATGTTGTCTATGAGTATTCAAGCAGATGTTTGGGTGTTAATATGACATGATTTGTTTGCCAAGGACCAGCAGCAGCAGCTGTTGCAGACGTAGTGCATTGTATTATGGCGGCAGCGGCGGCAGTAGCATGTAAAACCACAACAACAACAACAAGAAATTCTGAACAAAAATCCGAGAAGAAATCAGCAGCTGTGCTTGCTCTCTTTTTATTAAGTCTAAAAAATATCCTCGATTCCTTAATTAGTCTCTTCTGTTACCACAACTACTATAATTATTATTATTTTTATGATAATTACTCTATATGAAAGAAAAGAAAACAACAAGAAAAGAAAAAAGCAAAAACAAAACTTTCTATGTCTCTAGCTATGCCTATTTCTATTCTACTTTGTAATCTACTCGTAAAATTAACTTAGCCTTAATATAGTTTAATTTATTCTATTTTTTGTATTGTATTTCATAGTAATGTTTCCAAACGATGCAAGAAGAAAGAAAGAAAACAGGAAATCAATGCATAGGAAAAAAAGCTATAAATGAAATTACTCAATGATTGCCCAACAAAAAAGAAAAACGAAAAAATCTAAAAAAAATAGCAAAGACAAGAAGATTGATAAAAAAATAAAAACAAGAGAGAAGAAAAACTTTCCTAAGTGATACTATTGCTAATATATATTTTACATATAATAGAAGAAAATAAAATAAAAAAAAAAAAACACAAACAAATTCAAATAAAACTTTTTTGTTTTTTAATTGCAAAAGAACTAAAAATAAATTGAAAGAATAACAAGAAGCGTAAATAACATACAATTATCAAAAACCCCGTATATATTTATTGAAAATGCTATGTATTTAATAATTGTTATTTTTTTATTTTATTTATTTGTAAATTATATAAAAAAACCAGAAAATGCCACTCCCCTCTCTAAGAAAAAAAAAACACTGACACAAACATTGAATTACAGTCCGTTTTTTACAAAAAAAAAAAAAAAAAATAATAATTATATTTTTTAAAATATTTTCAATACTGGGCTAAAACATGTAAAGAAAAAAGAATTAACATTAAAAAAACAATACCTATAAACAAAATATAGAAACAATTTTATAATTAAAAAAAAGTAAACGAGTATTTTTTTCTCACATTTGTTTATTGTAGTTCTAACAAAATTTCCAAATTTTTGTTAGGAGGCATTTTTATGAGGCTGAAAGTAAAATCTATGTTTCAACTTCTTTTTTTGTTGAAAACAAAAAAGAAAAGTTAAAAAGAGAGACAAATTGAAAATCTAAAAAAATAACTAAAAAAACACAAACAAAAGAAACTCAACGATATTATTATTATAAATAAATCTTAACAAAAGAAAAAAACCAAACACAAAAGTTAATAATTAAAAAACAACAATATATACCAAGCTATATATATGGCCCCAAATTTCTTTAACAATATTTAACCAAACCTCAAATTTGAAAATCTATTCAAACAGTTATTGAAAATTACCAAATATTGAATTACATACATAATACACACATATATTTTGTCCAAAAACAAAATGCATAATATTTCTATAACTATCAAAAACAAATATCTATCCAAACAAAACAAAAAATATTGTGAAAACCAAATAACAAAACATTAAACTATTTTACTTTTTATAAAAGCATTTACTCTTGGATTTGTTTTTCAATAAAAAAATGTTTCTTATTCGATAATGATAACAACAACAAAAAACGTGTGAACCATTTATAAATGCCTTTTATGTAAACGTAAATTGTTTCAAAATACAAAATTGAAAATTGAATTTTTTTCTCTTTAAAATCCAAATAAACTTTACCATAATAAAAACAATAATAAAAAAACTGTTTTGTGTTTGAAAACTAATTGTGGAGTTTTTTATTGGTGGAGATCTGGGGTATGAATATGGAATACAAATTTGGGCTTGGTTTGGTTTAAGAATGCGTGGCTACATGCTACTCGGCAACTGCTTCAATTGGAGTTCTTCGCTCCATTGTGTTCATCCTAGGAAAAAAAATATTTTTTTGGTCAGAAGGAGATAAAGAAAAAAAGGAAGGGTTTGTCAAAGAAGGTTGGTCTGCTTGGCAGGGGAGTGCTTTTGGCAAACTTGTAGATGACGATGGGATCTATGTTTGAAAAATAAAACAAGTAAAATAGTATCAGTTGGTTTTGCCGACATATGTATACCCCCAGCCTTGAGTTATGATTATTCAAACTGTTGACCCTTTATGGGGGCGGTTCCGAAGCAGTTGGCCAATATTGACCAATTCGTATCTGACCTAAGACTGATATAAATATTACAAGTATTCCATTTTCATACTTCATCTAATACAGATAAAAATTTTAGTATGTGACGAATTTGAAGAAAATCGAACATTTATATTCAATTTTATGCGAAATCATAAATTCCGACAAGTTCCATATTCATATTAGATTTTTGGTTAAGAGAAATATTTAGATATATCAAGTTGTAAAGAACCGCCGAATTATTTCGCAAGTTTGACAGATATAAATATTGGAAATTGTGATTCTTTATGGGTGAGGTACCAGAAGGGGTTGGCAGATATATATCATCTTCACAACAGATCTTGTGTTAGCAAAAATATTTGGATGTGTGAAATTTGAAGAGAGTTGGATGTTTTTTCTTTGAGCGCTTTGTTTTTCAAAATCTTGAACCATGTGTGGGGGAGGTACCAGAAGGAGTGGACCGATATATCACGTCTTCACACCAGACCTTGGGTTAAAAAGAATATTGTGATGTGTGTAATTTGAAGATGCTTATTTCGGATTTTATGAAGAAGAAATGGTCCGATCTCTACCATTTTTATCACAGATCTTGTGTTGATGGAAATATTGAAATGTACCAGACCTTGGGTTAAAAAGAATATTGCGATGTGTGTAATTTGAAGAGAACTTAATGCTTATTTCGGATTTCATGATCGTTTTTTATTCAAAACATTGATGCTTTGTGGGGCAGGTACCACAAGGAATGGTCCGATCTCTACCATCTTTATAACAGATATTGTGTTGATGGAAATATTGAAATGTACCAAGTTTGAAGGAAATCAGATGTTAATTTCCCGTTTTATGAACTTCATGGGTACTCAAAATTTTGACCCATTGTAGGGGAGGTATCAGAAGGAGTGAACCGATATATCCAATCTTCACACCAGACTTCGAGTTATTAAAAATATTGTGATGTATGTAATTTGAAGAGAATCGGATGCTTATTACGGATTTTATGATCGTTTTGGTTATTCAAAAATTTGACCCTTTGTGGGGGAGGTACCAGAAGGAATGGTCCGATCTCTACCATCTTGTTAAAAGATCTTGTGTTGATGGAAATATTGAGATGTACCAAGTCTGAAGGGAATCCGATGTTAATTTCCCGTTTTATGAACTTCATGGGTACTCAAAATGTTGACCCTTTGTGTGGGAGGTACATGTTGGAGTGAACGTATATTGTCCATTTTCGCACCTGACCTAGCACTGATGCAAATATTAAGATTTGCAAAGTTGGAGCAAAATCGGATTATCCTTTCTCTTTCTGTGTATTATTTTCTTTGACAATTTTGACATTTTGTGGGGGAGACACCAGAAGGAGTGGACCGATATTGGACCGGTTTTGGCCGTATATAATGATATATACATACCCATAGCCATATGGCTAAGCCAAATATGTTGGAATTTTAAAACTCAGATTTTTTTTTTAAAGTCCAATAAATACTTTTCTTTAAAAACCGCCTATGGTTTCTTTAAGAATTAAGGATTATTATTTTTTAATCCGTTACTAATTTCTATTCCTCAAGAAATCTCTTTCCTGAAAGACTTTCTTTCATTTTTTTCAAAATAATGTTTATTTTTCAACGGACCAACCTGAACTAAACATTTTCATTTCAACATTTTCATTCACAATTTTCCACATATGTGTTTTAATCGGGTATTTTCAATTTGGGTACTGTTCGAGAGAAGAAAAGTGAGAATTTTATTTTTAGCATCCACAGAAAAGAAAACACACAATTGGAAAATGTTTCTCATTTTACATCAATACGTTGGGGAGCAAACATCGACATCGAAATTTGGTGGTTATTCAATACAACAAAACTGAAATAGATATATTTTCGGAAAAAAAGAAAAATTCTTAAAGAAAATTCACTTAAAAAATGGATAACTCCGATAATATGTATCAGCAAATCTGTAGTGCCCGCACCGTGCAGTCAGACAAAAAGGGTTTCTTCAATGAATTCTATTTGGAAGTGAAACAATCATGTGGCGAAAAATGGTTGAAAAACTATTTCGGTAGCCTGAAATCGAATGAGGCACGTATTTTGTCGATATTCAGTGATCGTGAAATATGTGATCCCGTTTTGGGTGTTTTGGAAAATGTTGTGCCTGTATTTAAGATGAAAGATGCTGTATTCTCGTCACAACGCCGGCTGCAGGCCGATAAGTACCATTTAATGTGGACATCGTCACAGAAAATCGAAGAACTGCAACATGCCTTGGCATTGGCCAATTTGGCTGTGATGCGTGCCCCCGCCAAAGGTGAGTTAGAGAAAAGTATAAATGTGAAGAATATATTTTTTTTGTTTGCGATTCGAATCAACAGGTTTCTGTAGTTTCGGTGGGAGAAAAATGTAGGTTTACATTTTAGTGAAAATTCATACACCTGAGCATGGGGTAAAATTTTTTGTTAAAAATCTTAGGATTAGGATAAAAATAGATTTTATGAATATCCACGATTTTGATTGGAATATTATATTTAATTTTTTTTTAACAATTATTTAAAAATTTGACATAAAAAAATACAACTCAAAAGCTGTCGTTAAAAAATCCAGAATTTAAAAGCCAGCAACTAGGGTATGACCTAGGGAAACTTGCTTCATAGCCCATCAATATAGGCCTGTGCATAGCACAGACAACATAAATTAGAGCCGAGCATATTGGGAAATATTTGTTTCTAAATTCTTGATTGGAATTGAAATAATTTATTAAAAAAAATCCATAATTTTAGTCTGGAATACGACCCGAAATAAATTGCTTCAAAAATGTCTATAGCATAGTTTGGATCAAAATTTTTCAAATACCAGATTACATTCTGGAATAACTTTCTTCAAAAATCTAGCTTGGACATTTTTTGAGACATTCGCATTTGGTTAAATGTGAGGTTATGACGTTCCACGCTCTTCGAGTCTTCTGACAAAATCTTGACCAGGTAAACTCTGCATACGAAATGACGAGGCTATAATCGATTTCAGGATATATTTTTGTCAGAAGTAATTCGTTATTATGTAATAGCATGGTACAATAAGGAGGTAGAACAGCTTCGTCAAACTACAGAAATACAGCCCTGAGGCAATGCCCGCTTCCTGTCAGAACTTTTTAAAATTATATGCAACAAATTATCTCCATGTATTTAATATTGAACGAAATACTTGGATTTTCTTTCAAATATTGGTCCAACTTTTAGTCTTAAAAAACATTTTGTAAATAAATACAAAATATTTTCAAAATCATGAAACTCAAAACTTACTTTTTATTTGTACCCTGTGTAATAGAGTCCAAGAGCCATAAGATCCAACATGAATTTATAATCGTGTCCAAAAATCCCAAAGGAATTACCCATAAACGTCGTGTCTAAGAACTGGATGTTCCCTTAGAGCATTCTGCAACATTGATAGCTGACTTCCTAAAGACTTGTCTATATTTTCTATGCGTTTTAAAGAAATCTTATAATGACTGCATTTTCTATTCTCCTAGGTGTTGATATGCAAATAGATGAAGGCCTCACATTGGCCTTAGCCCTGAGATGCCGAGCCCTGATTTTGACTGCATTGGGGGAAGGAGAAGCAGCCATAAATGATCTAAAGTTGGCTACAGCCAATGGTCTGGAAACCAAGAACAGTGTGGATTATTATGTGAAAATGGCCAAAGCCTATGCAAGTGAGTATGGAAATTACAAAATATTTTTTACAATTATTTTTAACAATTCTTCACCATCTATCTCTCCCCTTTAGCAATGGGTGAAATCAAGCGCGCTGAAATATCTCTTAAAGTTGCCGAAAATCTTTCGGGTGGGGGAAATGCTTTAATCGATGCCTGTCGCAAGGAACTGCCACACATTCGTGTTGTGAAAAAGAAGGCGGCCCTACAACCTCCCACCTTGACACATGGTGAAAATCAAGATCTGAAGGGTGCATCCAGTCTTGTCAAATTGGCTGAGACCAAAGAGAAGGGCCGCTTCATTGTCGCCAATAATGAGGTGAAAACTGGAGATGTGGTGCTAAGTGAAGATCCCGTGGCGGCCTGTCTGCTGCCAGCATTCTTTGGCAGTCATTGTCATCATTGTTTTGCCAAGTAAGAGATTGGATCTAGAATGATAGTTATGAATTAATAGGTCTTCTTGTTTAAGAAGGTTACAATAACCTGGATATAACTAAAATCGTATCTTCAGAAAATTCTCAATTTTGGAGAACCAAATACTTCTTGGATTGCTTTTATTAATGCAAGAATAAAAAATCCACATTAATGTCAATTAGAAAGCTGAGTTTAAGCCATGATACATTTTCTTCCAAAATCCACGACAATAGTGATGATGATCGGTTGCAACATTTTCTTTAAAATTCAATATTTTTAGGTCATAAGCATCATATTTTCTTTTGAAATTCTTTTTCTGGAATGTCTAGAATGTTCGATATAATTCCACTACTGCAAACCTAACATATACTAATATATTTTCCATAGGCATCCGCTATAGTAGATATGGGCATTGCTTGAAACATAACATAATTTTTTGTGGCCCCGACTGATTTTTGACGAGAAGGGTCCCTTGATTTGATGATTGGCAAAAAAATTAGAAATTAGCTGCGGGTTCTTTTGAAGGATTCTACTATATAAAGATACCCTAAATTATTAACGATTACAGATCTAAACAAAGCCTGGAGTAAGATCTTTAAAAACTCTCAACTACAAACCTGAGCATAGCCGTAAAATTTCTCTTAATACGTCCCGTTTTTGTCCAGCATATTTTCTTTACAAATTTAATGTTGAGTTTTGCTTGAACTTTGTTTCAAAAATCCAAGATTGGAAACTAACAAATAGACCAAAATTATTTCTGAGCATAGCCGATTAAGTTCTCTTGAAAATTTCGGTTTAAGCCACCCAGGCGGTTTAAGCCACCCACCCACCAAAGCATTTTGGTGGGAGTTTCCCAGAAAAAAAGTTATTCGTGATGGAATTGGAAGCGTGATAGTGTGATTTCTTTATATTTGGCTGGAAAACCACAAGTGGCTATCGTTAGAGCACTCCAGCATTTAAATGTGAATAAATCTTTTATGTCTCGTACCATCGCTCGTTATCGATTACGTGATATTGGTAGCGTAGCCCGACATGTCACGGAATTGGACGGAAGAAAACAGCAACATCAGCAGAAAATGTTCGAAAAGTAAAGAAGCGACTTGATCGAAACCAGCGTCGCAGTGGCCGAAAAATGGCACGTGAGCTGAACATATCGCAATATACCATTCGGCAAATATTGAAAAATGAGCTCGGGGTAAAGCCCTTGAAATTCCAAAAACTGTAAGAACTTACATTGCAACAGAAAGAAAATTAACTCAAAAGAGCTAAAGAGATTCTTCGCTAGGCCGAAAGTGGTGAACTGGCGAATTTGGTTTTCTCCGTCTCCGATGAGAAAACATTCGTTGTCCAGCAGTTTATAAACAAACAAAATGATCGTGTTTACTTGCCAAAGAGGTCAGCTGAAAATGTGCACCGTCGGTTGGCCACCAGAATTCAAGCTTGCTTTCATTCAATTCAATTAAAAAATGTAAAAATTATGGCGTTTGACTTTGTAGCAGTTTTTTTTATCTCACCCCGTATATTACCTTTATATTACTGTATTTATATTTTTATTATTCCTCTTTTAGGCTTTCCGTACCAATTCCATGCCAAACTTGTTCCGGTATGGCATTTTGCTCAACACAATGTATGAACGAGGCCTGTAGCACCTATCATCGTTATGAATGCCAGTTTATGGATCTTTATATTGGTGAGTTCTTGTAGAACTTCCAAATTGAATAAAATGCAACATTTTTCAACTGAAACAAATTTCTTCTTTGAGCTCGGTTTTGAAATGTTGGAAACTCATCTGAAAAAATTACAAAAATAATTTATTTAATTTAAAATAGCAGTTTTAATTTTAAAACAGTTTTTTATGGCAGTATGAAAGAGAATGTGATTGAAAAATAGCATTCAATGTAGAATTTCAGAAAAAAAACTCAAAAATTCGAAGTCATTTGAAATGGTGTTTTTCGTTCACATTCACATTTATATCGTCATAGAGACACAGGTCCATTATTTTATATGCGATATGTGGAATTTGAAGTATCCAATTTATTCCATTTTTAAGGTTCTGGCATGTCAATCTTATGTTACATTGCCCTGCGCGTTTTTACCCAGGCCAAAGACATCGAAAGTGCACTGCAAGTTGCCTCCCAACTCTATCAGAATCTCTGTACCCATGAAGATTCACGACAAGCCGACGATTTGTTACAACGCTCCCTAATGTCTGCTTTTCTGCTGAGGACTCTACAGAAAAGCAATTATTTTGGACGACGCAAAACTGAAGGTGTAAATCCCACAGCCGTCGAATTGCAAGTAGCCACAGCTTTGCTGGGTTTGTTAGAAGTCCTGCAATATAATGCCCATGAAATCTATCAAACCGTAACAACCGATAAACATCTATTTGAGGGATCCAAAGTGGTATACATTGGTGCTGGTCTATATGGTACAGCTGCCTATTTCAATCATGAATGTTGGCCATCGGTGGCCCGTTACTTTGTGGGTAAAAAACTTGTCTTGGCTGCAACGAAATTGCATCGACCCAATGAGGTAGTTGCTGAAAATTATGGACCAGTATTTATAAAGGCCAATCTGAAGGAGCGGCAAAGAGCATTGCGGGCCCGCTATTTATTCGATTGTAATTGCATGGCCTGCCAGGAGAATTGGCCAACTATACAGAAATTGGATAAGAATGTTAGGTTTTGGTGAGTATTGAGATGTAAAAATAATCATACCATAATATAACAATAATAACAAAAACAATAGCATTGCTAATAAGGACAGTATTCATAAAAATAATAATAATAAAAAATAAAATAAGTATTGAATATTTTTAAGCTTCGTTTCTAATGTTGTTTAATTTAGTTTCAATTATAAGAAATAATACATTTTCTTTATTGTTTCAGGTGCCCAACTGCAAATTGCAACAATGTTTTACAATTCCCCAAGGATCTGAGCAAAGATGTCCGTTGTGTTCGCTGTCGCAAAAATGTCTCTCTAAAAGAGAGTGTAGCCAGAATGATAAAAGTCGAGGAACTGTATCGTGAAGCTGCCCATAACATGCAGGACGAGAAGGTTGAAGAGGCAATTGCGTTGTTCAAGGAAGGCATTGATCAGTTCTTTGAAATTGCCGTTTTACCGCATAAGGATACACTGATAGCGCAGAATTCATTGACCAAGTGCATGGCAACGTTGGCAAGGCCACATTAAAATATCAGCATTTCTATAAACTTTTATTATGGACAAATACAACATTTTTAAATTATGTTTCTAGTTTTTTTAATGGTGGAACAAATTTCAAACATCTTATAGAAAATTTCTATATATAAGCAACTTTTAAAGGCACAAGATATCTCAAAATCATAATAGAATGAAGACGTTACATATATATATCGAATCACATTAAAACTTGGGTTTTCCTTCCTTCGTCGCAGATTATTTTAACATCAGAGACATTATCGGGACACCAACAACAGCTTTGGCAATAAAGCTGAAAAAATAGGGGTTTTGCTTTTAGATTCCGACGCACCTGTGTGTCCTCATATTACTTTTTGTGGGCCAGAGTGGTTTGTGACAAGAAGGGTCACTTGGTTTGGTGGGGACAAACAGGAAATTAGCTGTGTATCCTGTTGAAGGATTCTACTCCATAAAGATACCGTGAAAATAAGATGAATTGGGCATAGGCGCCAAATCAACAAAGGAATTATGCACAATAGAGTTCTGTAGATCGAAAACAAACTCAAAAGCTGATTGAATCACCCTGTGTATTTTTCGATCAAAAGAGCCATTTGATTTCACTTTTTAATATTGAGAATGCTTTCACAAATATACGCAATTTTATTTGTGTCCCACCATGATAGATTTTAAAAATTATCCTAAATAAAATCGATTTTGCGGGACAAATATTAAATGCAATCATTGTAATACAAATTTCAACGTTGTAACGGACATTTCTGTATAATAGTGATCTACAGATCGAAAACGCACTTAACGGTTGTAGATCCCTTCGGCTGTCGTTTACCGATTGTGTGAGCCCTATGACACTTTCGCAAATTTATTTTATAACATTTGTAAATAACGGGTTATTGAGGCCTTTTTAGTTTGTTACCGGTAATTGTGAACATCAATAACATGATAATGGCAACATTGTAAAAAAGACAGTAAAGAAAAGTATAGAAAAGAAAAACTGAAAAATGTGTGCGTTTTAGATGGAGCCTACTGTGGAAATGACGAAATTGCCACACATATTTATTAAGAAGCCCCACAAACGCCAGCTGAGAATGTCAAACTAGCCCCGCGATTCGTTTAATGAATGTGTCCGGCTGATTGCGGTTTCCTCCTGTCTCATTCGTAAACAACAGTGTTACTCGGGGGATTTTGCACTCTGTTCAATCTTTTTTGGCCTTTTTATTTGTTTCATTGGGAACGTCTTGAATCTGGCCTCAACTAGTCTGTTTCCATCGTCCCGAAATGATTAAACGACCCAAACCCGGCGAAACTGAGGAAGATATCTTGCGCATGCAAGAGGAATTTTTGGCGCAAAAAGCCAAAAATCCTCAGCTACAGCCGGCAGCCCAAATTGTTAAGATCGACAAACGTGAGTTGGCGAATGGTGAAATTACGAGAGTAATTAATTAAAATTTTTAATAATATATCTCCTTAGCCCCCAAGCAATCCCTGTTTGCCAAAGCCCGGCAGCAAGCACAAACAAAACCACCTGCAGACAATGCACTACAACCAGCTCCCACAACCGAACTGAATTCCAATCTCATCCTCGAGGAAATACACAAAAAAATTGTTGGAGATGTTGCCGACAGTGAGGCTAGTAAAACCATAACCGATATTGTTATGGGTGATATTGTAGAGAAGTCTTTTGATGCTCCTAAAGTGGTGAATTATTCCCCGGAAGTGGAAACTGCAGCATTTCCCAAAATTCAAAAAATATCGCTAGGAAATGTTGCCCAGAAAAAGGGAAAAAGTATTTTTGCCCAGACATGTAATAAGAAACCCTCAGAGAAACCACAACCAATGGAAGTTGATGAAGTTGTTGCATTGGAAAAGCGTAGTGATTTGAATGAATTGTATGGCAAGACAAGTGTCATTGTTGAGGACACCAAGACCGCCAATGAAATTCACAATGAAAATCTCAATTTGTTGTGTAAAATGAAAGAAGAGGAGATACTGGCTGAACGGAAGAAGCTGATGGAGTCAATTGGTAAGAAAATCTCCTAAAATAATTATAATTTTCTCTAAATATTATTTTTTGCATCTGCTACTAGATCCTGCAATTGTTGCTCTGTTGGCCAAGAAACGTCAGGAGAAGGCCCAACAAATAATGTCCCCAAATGCTCAAAAGTCCCCTCCAGCAGTGCCTTTGAATCAAACAACGTCTCCTAAAACTGTTACTCTTGAACTAGAGGTCGAGTCATTGCCACCAACCAATCCAGCCGTTGAAATTCTACAACGCTCCGCGGCCGAACAATGGATACATTTTGATGTTGTGGAAAAAGATAAATTAGAATGGATGCGGGATATACCATTGCAATCGGCTAAACTAAAGCCGGGGCAGAAATTCGAAGCACGTTTCGATTGGAAGGGAGTACTGCTGCCCTATACCATGGATGAGATTAGTGACAAAACTAATGGTGCTGTGGAAAAAGATGATCGTGAATTGTATATGCATGGTGATGAACCTCATCGTCCTGGTTATACGTTGCAAGAACTATTTAGGTTGGCCCGTTCAAATGTCATGCAGCAGCGGGTGACGGCCTTTAGTGCCATTGCCGGCATATTGAGTATCTATCAGCAGGGTTTTTATGATCAAGTGCTAGATTTGCCCATTAGTAAAATATTCTTCCTGCTGAGATTTGGTTTCGATGACAATACCCCCGCAATGCTGGAAATTGTGGGCAAGGCATTGGCCTATTTGTTTTATAATGAAACAGATGAGGTGAGTTTAAGATATTTTAAATTGGCTTAATCCCCTTAATTTGTATTCTCTTTTAGACTTTACTGGATTTCTTTTATGATAATCCAGGCTGCCAATGGCAACCTTCTTTGGAAGTATTAAATTTGGAAACCCTTGGCGATGATGACGAAATGAAAACTATTGAACATTTACAAAAGCAAATGCAACAAATGCAGTTGTCATTCAAGGGTGCTGCCCATACGGTCAATGCCAATGTTGAGGAAAACGAAGAGGAAAGTAAAACATCCATGAGTGATTTTCAATTGGCTGAAACCGATTTAGTTGATTGTCTTTTGAGAACAAATATTCTGCAGAGAATTTAGTGAGTTATAAACAATTTAAAAAATATCAAAATTATTATAGTTTAACTCATTTTCAGTTTTATTCTGAATGTGGTGAAACCAGAAAATGGCACTGTGTCGTCTTGTTTAAAATTGCTTATACGTCTGGCCAGATCCGGCAAGGAGGTGGCCTTACAAATAGTCAACAATGATGATTTAATGCATTGCTTGTTTGAGAACTTTTTACCGGGTTTGGAGAAAGTTGGTAAGTTGCCTCGACCTTACAAATTTAAAACTCAGACTTTATAATTAAATGTTATTTTTCCAGACACCTGTCTTCAGACACCCCCTTTCTACAATTATCCCCAATATCTATGCCTTAAACTCATGAGAATTTTAATTTCCTGTAATCTAAGCATTGCTGTGAAATTAATCAAATTCAAATTAATTGATATTTTGGAAAATTATTTATTCAATCGAGAAGATAAAAAGGTAATCCATTCACAAATGCATAAACAATTACAAATTGTATTTCTTTGATCTCCACAGGGCAATCTTATTAAAGTTCAAATCGAGGCGTTACGCTGTCTAAGATGTCTACTACTATTGCGCGTGGAGAATAATACTTTACATAGGTATGTTACAAATTCATTTAATCCAAAATAAAATGTAGTTTTTCACTCAGCATTATGGGATTAACGTCCACATAACATTTCAATGTATTGTAAGCTATTTTGCACTTGTCATCGCCATCTAAATGTGGGAGGAGAGGAAAGAGAAACGCTTATAATTACAAGCTTTATTAAAAAAAAAATAAAAACAATTACTTGCCTTTCGTGCCGCATGATTCTACTAATGTTGTAATCATTGGATGCAATTCTTCCGGTAATACTTGTGTCAAGCTCTCCAAACGCATCACATTTTTCTCGTCTATCTGTACATAGAAAACAGTTAACGTAACAAAAACTTTAGCATGTGCGTAGAACAATAATTAAGGAAATTATTTCAAACTTACAACTCCTATCATATCGAATATACAGTGTATATAACATGCGAAATTGTCATCTTGGGGTAATGTGCCGCTAAAACTTGCTCGAATGACATCTAAAAAGTAGAAATGTATGATAAAGGGGAATATCAATTAAAAATTATAAGAATCATAGCAAATAGAAGCATGTGGATAAATCCCCTAAAACGATTCAAAAACATATTCGATTTAAATACTTATCTTCGTTTTGGTCCCAATTTGTTAGAAACTGTTTTGAATCGGTCCGAAGGAATCACCCCCAATACAATATATCTTACACACAATATACTTACCATCGGAGGTATTCGTTTGGTTCTGACAACGCTTATGCAGTTTTTTGGCATGCTTTTTAAAGTGTTCAGGAACTTCAAACTGCAAAGAAATATAGTTTACGATTTCTCAGTAATTGCTCAATTAATATGAAATAAGAGGAACATAGAATTACTATCACATTAAAATGATGAGAACATTAAAATGATTAGAGTCTAAAAAAACAGTTCAAGATATTTAACCTAAAATGTTTAACCTAAAAGTTGCAGCCTTAACCTAATTTTCTTTAAATTCATGTTCGATTTTCTTAGAGAATTAAAGCCTAATACTTTTTACACAATGTTTTTATCTTTACAACCATAGAGGAAAGATCGCCTCGGAAGGAGAGGTGGGAGTTTTAAGTTTCATGTTCCTATCTCGTTTGATCTAAACTTACATGGGTTATACATTGATAACTGACTTAGGATATCCGGCCAGTTAATAGCTGTGGACCGCTTTATTTTCCAAACAAAAACTTGATTTTGAAAGGACTGGGATTCACTACAGAGTCAGACCAATACGGCTGCATTTGACCAGATTCATAACTTCCAAATTCCGCAATTTCCTCAATCACGGGAAGATAACTAGTCTAAATTCTGAGTCCCTTTTAAAAAAAATTTTCCAGAGACATCACAGCTTCAGCCATACACCTCGATTTCTTGACCAAACTACCCAGTAAAGTCACCGGGACTAGTGAATGATTTTAAACAGCCTCGGTGATCTAATCCTCTGATCCCAGAACGTCTAAACGTTGACTTTGAACAAGAACAATAAATGAAGACGTCGTATCAGATTCTTCTCGATAAGGAGGCATTACCACAATTTTCGATGGCCGATTTTGCGAACTTCATTCAAAGCTCCTACTGATCATTGGTCTTTCCAAAAGTTTGCTGCTGAAGCCACGCCAATAAAGGAGAATTATAAAGGCCGATTTTGTCGCCAAATTCGAATACTCTTGAGGCATTAATGCTTCCCATCACTAGAGAAAGTTGTCCTGCTGCCGACCAACCCAAAAAAGGGTTTCAACCACAAAAAAAAAAAAAAAAAAAAAAAAAAAAATTGAACGCCATATCCACCATCTATGTTGAGGATTAAACCAGAACAAGCCCTGTCATAGGACTGTTTGAGGATGTCGAGGAAAACGTTAGATAATCAACAAGATATGTCTGTCGTACATGGAATTCCATACTTAGTGGATAGACACCCTGCGCCTAAGTATGTATGGAAATAACTTTGTGAACTTGAGGAAGCGAGAGAGAGGGAGTTGGAGCGATATAAAAGTGAAAAGGCCTATCAATCAGAACTGAATTTTCTTGTAGTGGTAATTTGATTCGTGGTAATTTGAGTAATGAAGTTATAAAGAACGAATGGGTACTATACTAAAACGTAGACCTGCATCCAACTATCCACTGAGGACATGAAAAAACAATTTACAGTTGATTTGTTGGGAACTTGGAGCAGGAACCCCCCAAAACCCGAAAATCAGGACGTAATCATTTAATGCTAAACATCTTAGAAAAATCAATGACCGTCCAAAATTTGAAGGGTCAAAAGTTCGTTATTAATTATCATTTACCAAATGGCCCATCATATACCCAGAGTAACATTCTTAGGTTCTCAAAGTATACAAAATATTCTATGGGTCCTTCAATGATATAGTACGTCGTTGAGGGTTTGGCAAATCCTTCATAAATTTCTTAATCTGATCTCATATTGGAGGGACTGTAGATGCTATTGGAAAATTTCATAATACGAACAGAACTCCCTCGCCTCGCGTTGCTTAAAAATTAACCTCCTGGGGAATATATCCTAGAGAAAAAACAAGGGAAAACCGAAACCTAGGTATTCCCTGTCTTAACCCCTTTTAAACACTGTCATCTTTTTCCACTAATAAACAAACGTTGTTTTTATAAAAACAACAATAATGGGATTAAGCCTAACTATTTTGCAACAAAATACTACGGTATCCCGAACAAACATGCCAACACTGTTCTATCTTTGTTCTATCAGGTCATGTGGACATTTTCTGACACTAGACTAAATAATAAATTATTTTGTTCTCAAGCAGGTAGGAAAAGTTCCTACTAGAAAATGGGTATTTTAAATCACTTGAGTACCATTTACAGATATTTTTAGTATATCCTCTTAGTCCTTTCATTCTTAAAACTCATATCTTTTATTTTTTTCATTCCGAGTTTTTAGTTATATTTGCATTCATATTGTATTTTTTATTAGTTTTTTTGTATCTCTTTTTATATCGGATTTCGTAATTTACACCAACACTTACACCTTCATTCTGAATGATATAAGATATCATTATTAAAGCGATCAAACCGATTGTAAATGATTTCATATTTAATTTTTTTTAATTTGTTTAACTTTATTGGTTATGTTTCCGCACTAAAATCCACAATAACTTAAATTTCGATTTCATTAACATCTAAGCTTTATATAGAATTCAGCAATATTGAAAAGATGATTAAGCATATTTTATCATATATCCCAGACGATATACAGCAAAAAATCGCATTGTTTTAATTTTTTCCCCCGTTTTTTATTCCAAAGAAAATTTGTAACCGCCTTTCGTTACATGCTCGATTGGCACTACAATCATGTAACTTATGAAGAGGGCGGACCCTTTTTGATACGACAACACGCAGCGGCTCTACTGGCAACAATTGCCAGCATCAATGGTCCGGTGGGCTGCGAAGTAACGGCCCTGTTGGGTGACATATTGCATGATTGCAGCTGCAATTGGTTCCACAAGGCAATGCGTTTTGGTGTGAAAGAGGTAAGTAAATGTTATTTTTTGAGTTTTGATTTGATTACTAAATAATTAATATTTGATTAATAAATAATAATTATTTGAATTCCCATATAATTAATCCGTCGAAAAATTTTGATTGATTTTTGTTTTAATTTTGATTTGCAGTTTTCCCAAGCCACTTTGCTAAGTTCCTGTCTGAATGCTGTTACATGGTATATACGACACACGGATACGGCACGTTTTCAGAATTTCATTGGCAAATATTTGTGTGAATTTATCAAGTCGGATAGTTTTGTAAAGTTCATCAATACAATAAGGTATGAATGATGCATCACCACATATATGGCAGTACAATATTTTTCAAAATGAACACTTATGACAAATCTTCCAGAGGCACAAGGTATTTTAAATGCCTTTAATAGACAGAGGATTTTTTACAAGTTTTTTAGCGACCTTTGATAGAGAAATAACCCTTAAAGATCTTCTGTAGTTCGAATTTAATTTTAAGTACTTGAATAGACATAGCAGATTTTTAAGGTCTTTTTAGATTTTCTGTCGACAGAAGACTCTCAGACCCCGGTCTAGGACAGAAGATCCCCGAAATATCTTCCAAACACAAAATACCTTTAAAATGTGTTGGGAAAGTGAGATACTATTTTTTAAAGATAGAAGCACTTAAAATGTCTTCTGTAGGTGGAGGACCTTTATAAGTTATTTTACAAATAGAAAATGTTCAAGAGTTATTTTGTGGCAACCACCACCACACCAATAACCGGACCGATGAATAAGACGAATTTAATACCTAGAAGACTTTTAAAACATCATCTAAAATGGACGATATTCACAGGGTCTGTTTAATTTAGAAGACTCTCAAAAGGTCTTTTTTAAGAAAAAAGCTTCAAACCTTCAAATGTTCGATTAATTTGTAGCAAGAGAACCATGAACTCCAATACCCGGATAGACTAGGGACATTAAAGAGGAATTCCATACCTAGAAGGCATTTATAAGGTCTTCCAACTGTAAAAGAATATTTTCCAAGACTTCTATGATTAGAATTATCTGGAGGAGTCGTCTATTGTTATCAGACCTCTATCGGAAATAGAATACCTTCAAAGGGGTCTTATATGGATTAAAGGATATTTCTATAGATAGAAGACTCTCTAGGGGTCTTCTATGGATAAAATACCCCTTGGAGTATTCTATTGGTGGAATACCCTGTATAAGTCTTCCATGGTGATTGAATGCCTCTTCTATGGATAAAATACCCCGTAGAAGTTTTCCATGGATAGGATAAACTCTGGGAATCTTCTAGAGATGGGAGACCTTCTATATCTTTTCGGTGTATAGGTGACTCTCCTAAAAATAGAATGACCCCTTAGGGTACTTCTGAGACGTTTTTGGGGGTCCTTTAGAGATAGACGATCTTCTAGAGGAGTTCAATGTATGAATGACCTGGAATCCACCTTGGATAAAAGATCATCTATCCACAGAACATTTTCTAAGGTTTTTCTATGGATAGAATACCCTCAAGGGGTCTTTCATGAGACGGATCTTTTTTGGATAGAAGACCCTTTAGAGGTCTGCCAATGGTACAAGGCCTTCTTGGGTCTTCTCTGGGAGATTGCTATTGAAAAAATGATCTCTGGATGCCTTTTACAGATGAAAATCCTGTGTGGGCGTTTTATGGGTCTTATATGGGCCATTTTAAGGCATTTTATGGACGGAGTAAAATACCTTTTAATTTTGCATGAATGAGAGACCCCCAAGGGGGCTGCTATGTATAGAAGATCCTAGGGGTTTTGTGTCTGCTATGAATGAAAAAAAAAAAAAAAAAAAGCCCTCTAAGAGTCTATGTACAGAAGATCCATTAGGTGCTTTCTATGGATAGAAAACTCCCTACGGATCTTTTATGGATAGAAGATCCTTTAAAGGTCTTAGAAGGCTTTTTGGGGACTCCTCTGGGAGATTGCTATAAAAAATGCTCTCTGGAGGCCTTTTACAGATGAAAATCATTTGTGTGTTTTTCATAGATTTTCTATGGTCTTCTATTGACCATGTTAAGACTTTTTATGAATGGAGTAAGATACCTTTTCCTTTTGCATTAACAAGAGACCCCCAAGAAGTCTGCTATGGATAGACGAAATTAGGGTCGTCTATGCAAAAAGGGTCCTTTAAAAGTCTATTATGTATAGAAGGTCCATTAGTTGTTTTCTATGGATGGAAAACTCCCTACGGATCTTTTATGGATAGGAGACCCTTTAGAGGTCTGTGGGTGTTTTAAGGACTATTCCCAGGCATTTTATGGACGGAGTAAAATACCTAGACGCCACCCACATTTACATATACGGATCTTCCGTTGATATAAGGCCTAGGTCATATATTCTATGGATGAAAGTTCCTTTTGCAATTTCTCCAAAACCTGATTTTATTATTTTTCTTTTAGTTCCTCCTCAATTGTGCTACGCAAATCCGTTGATCGTCGAAATGTCCACAATCCATTACCCAATGTTGGGTCAGTAATAATGAACTCCTATGGCCCACAATTGGTCATAACACAAACCTATCCGATTTATGTTATAACCGCAATCTGGCGTCTAATGGAACTGCTTTTGGAACGGAGTGAAAAACAAATTTTCAATGCTCTATTTGATCCGAAAATTCTCGAACCAATGGTGGAGCTACTACGTGGTCTCAGCACAAAATGCAATAGCTATTTGGCAACGAATTTCTTTGCCAAAATGGAAATTAAACTGCTATTTAAATTACTGTGCTTCGAGGGGTTCAATGAGTATTTCAAACCCGCCGAAATGGTGCAAATCGTCTATAACTATTTGTGTTGCTTAACGGCCGAACATATACCCGAAGTGGAAGAACTTTTTGAAAGGGTCATCTTTAATCCTAAATATATTTCTGTGGAGCTGGAGACCCTTAACAAATGGCGTACAAAATGTTTGGAACTGGTTTACACGCGTTATATTGTGGTGGTAAGTATGAGAGGTCTTTTGTATGTATTACATTTATGATTGTGTTCTTTGTTATATCTACAGCCCCCCAGCGAATTGACTCTGTCGCTGCCTTTTAGTCAAGTACCCATTTTGCCAACGGATTGGCCATATTTCCAATTGAAAGTTATTCTACAGCATTATGTTGAGAATGTGAAACAGAAAACGGCAGCGGACTTTTCGGGTAAATATTAAAAATATTCTTTACTCTTTTACGGAAAGGACATCTCAATATGGCATTGCTCCAAATGCCATCGTTGTAACTGTTAAATTAATTTTTATTGAACCTGTCCTCTTTTTCTAGAACGTGAAATTCTTCAGATGACCTTAAACTTTGTTACCCAATTGGAGGAATGCAACGAGCACATACAAATCGTTTCACCCACCGAAAAAATAATGTATCTAATGATTGCATTTATGGGCCCGGATTCTCAGTTCCTCGACAAAGAAGTCAATCAACTTTTAAGGCAACATTTGCTGAAGTTTTATAAAGACTGTGAAAAGGTGGAATTTCAATTCGATGCAGAATATCATGGTAATTACAAACAAATACTTTCTTCATAAACAAAAAAATTGAAAAAAAAAAATTTATTTTCTTCCAGGAAAATGTAAATTTGAAAATCTCTATGTTTTGTTTTTGGATCACTTTCAAGCCGCCAGTTATGGCGATGAACTCTTTAGCTCTCTGGTAATGGTCCCACTGGCACAGAAATATGATAACAAATGGCGTCGCCGAGTTTGGTCGGATCATGTATCAGCATTGAGATTTCTCGATTGTAAAGAGGAATTGGTAAGATTATTTTTTTTGTTTAAAAAATCTTTTAGTAATAAAGTATATATGTTTTTAGCTCATTGGTGGTCTGACAGCATATTTGGAACCCCATGAACAAGAAGAATCTTTGCTAAAGGAATACAATACAGCCTTAAATTTAAATTTAGTACGTCCAAATACATTACCACACAAAATAGCCAAACATCATTTAGATAAGTTCAAGAAACGTTTAAATAAATGAAACTTCTTGCAAAGGAGACAATTTTGAATGTAAGTACATTGTTTTCTTATTCTTTTTATGCATTTTATTTCAAAATGATTGATTTTTATTCTCAATAAAAACATAATCTCAAAGTTCGGATGAGTAATGTAAAAAGAATACATTTCATAAAAAACTGACATTCGACGGGGTTTCTACAAAAATTGAGGCCTTTGGCCGATTTTAATAAGTCTTCTTCAGCACATATATGAATTTACCCAGATCTTCCATAGATAAAATGCTCAGTTCTAAAATATATCCAAAATTTTTCGAAATTTTTGTCCTATATAAAGAATGGAGTTTATTAGTCCATTCTTTCAAGTACCTTCCTCACAAGAGGTCGTTATTTTTGGATTACCCTAAGAAAATTGTGGATTTTTCAAAAAAAAAAATAAATAAATAAATAATAATAATAATAAATAAATAATAATAAAATTCAAAGACCAAATTTGTGGGTTTTAAAAAATATTTGCTAGTTTTCCCTGAATAAAATTCTTGACCAAGATTCTCGGATTCTTAAGAATAATTATTCAAGGACACCCGGATAAAAACTGTGGATCTTTAAGTATATTGTTAAGGACCGAAACTTTTTAATTTTAAAGAAAATTTATTCAATGAAAAAAGTGTATTATTAAAAACATTATTGAATTGTGAATTTTAAGGAAATTTGTTGAAGGACCTTTTGACCAAAAATCGTGGATTTCCTGTAAAAAATTAAAATTTAGGACCTACTGTCGAAAAATTTAGGATTAAAAAAAAATTCGAAGGTATTCTTGCGAAAATTTAGGGATTTTTTAAAATTTTTAAAGCCATTCTTTCCCGAAATTGTAGATTTGTAACAATAAATTTTTAAGGCCAAACACACCAAATAAGTTGGATTTTTTAAAAATTGTTAAAGAAGAAAAATGTTGGGATTTTTTAAAAAAAATTTAAATTTTTTAAAAGTTTTTCAAGGAACTCCTCACCAAACAAGGAACAGATTTTACATATTTTTTCGAAGAATTTTTTTTTTATTTTCAAATAGTTTTTAAAAATTTGCATACTTCCAAACATTGTATATTTTTAGAAAATTTAGTTTAATAAAAACCTGAACAAAAATCGCTGATCTTGAATAAAAATTGTCCAAGAATTCTCTAACCAAAAATTGTGATTTTTTAATATATTATTTAAGGACATCCTGACCAAAAATCTGTATTTTTTCATTTTTTTTTTCAAAAATCGTGCATTTAATTAGAATTTGTTCCTGATAATAAATCATGAAATTCTAAAAAATGTTTAAGGGACACAAAATGCCCAAAAGTATTTGTTTTTTAAGAATTTTTCAACGACAATTAATCGTAAACTTTTAACAAATTTTTTTCAAGAAATGTTTTTTTTTAAAACATCAAAAATTCACTTATCATTATACCCTCAGCCATATGGCTACGGAAGGTATATATCATTTGATACAGCCATAGTAGAGAGGTTGTATTAAGTTTGTCATTCCGTTTGTAACACCTCGAAGTATACATTTTAGACCCCACAAAATATATATATTCTTGATCAGCCTACAATTCTATGTCAATTTAGCGTTGTCCGTCCATCTGTGGAAATCACTCAGCTTCCGAACGAAATGAAGTAGGTTGATCAAATTTTACTCAAATGTATATTACGTCTGCAGGACTTTTGGTATTAAAAATGGGCAATGTAGGTCCACGTTTTGGTATAGCCCCCATATAATGGTACCACCCGATTTTCGGTATTCTGATGATTTAAGCAACATTATTCACCGGTATTGTTTCAAATTTGGTAATTGAAGATCGAAATGGGTATTACAGCCTAACACAGAAATTTGTCTGTGCAGGCCCACGTCTTCGTATAGCCCTCATATAACGGTACCTCCCGATATTCGGTATTTTGACGATTTTAGCGACATTATTCACCGGAATTGTTTTAAATTTGGTATTTAAAGTTCGCAATGTATACTACAGTCTATGATAGAAAATTGTCTGTGCAGGTCCACGTCTTCGTATAGGCCCCATATATCAGTACCTCCCTATATTCGGTATTTTGACGATTTTAGGTACAATACTCACCGATATTGTTTGAGATATCGTATTTAATTTCGTAATGGATGCTACAGCCTCTGACAGAAAATTTTCTGGCTGGTCCAGGTCTTCACACAGCTCCGATATAATGGCAACTCCCTATATACGTTATTTTGATGATTTTAGCTACATTATGCACCATGTTATCAAGTTATCGAATTTGAATATGGTAATGGCTTATGACAAGCAATGCCTTTATAGGTCCACGTCGTATAGACCCCAATAAAACGGCTATATTCGGTATTTTTAAAATATTAACAGAATTTTTTAAGGATTTTATTTTTTGAAAATTACCAAATTCATTCCACTTCATTCCTCCACGCATTCAAAGTTCGGCCCGGCCGAACTTACTGTTTTTTTAACTTGTTTTATTTTTAAATAGTTTTAAAAATTAGCATACTTCCAAGCATTGTATATTTTTAGAAAATTTAGTTCAATAAAAACCTGAACAAAAATCGTTGATCTTGAAAAAAATTGTCCAAGGATTCTCTGACCAAAAATTAGGTATTCAGATTTTTTTCTTGTTTTCATTATTTTCATTGTTTTATATAATACAATATAAAAAGCCAATCTGTTCAATATCTTCTGAGGCCCCTTATTGGGCTTTCCTCATTACTTCGATACTATGAAGACCTTGGACTAGATTCTTGTTCTATGACAATATGATGTGAGCAATATTTCTTCATAAAAGTTTTAATTTCGCATTTTCATAGAATAAGAATTAAGACCCCTCCTCTCCCATCCTTTTTATATCAAGAATTTTTATCTCGGGCGCTTTATAGAGCCGGGTAATCTCTTCTTTGGTAAGAATATCTTCCTCATGTCAGAGAGACTTCTGCCGATTTTTTTCTACATCGGCTTTTTTAGCTTTAATTTTATCTTCAGACCTTTCATAGCTAAATATAAAGCCTTTTATATCTTTAATGTTGTACACATGTCTTCCAAACATGAAGTACCTTATATTGGTATTGTACTTCTTGCCCCTCACCTTTTATTGATGATAATATGTGGCTTTCATGAAAATATTTTATTTTCCATGGAATCTGTTGTAAATTTCTCGAAATGGCAAGGCACATCATTTGCTGTTTTTTTTTTAAGAGCCTAAAAGTATGCTTCACATTATGAACTTGAATCTCAACTGCAAAGCCATTTCTCCATGTGAACATGCTATGAATATTGAACAATGTTATGTTCTGTAACGTTTTTTTTTTTCTTTCGAAACTAAACTTCTCTAAACGATGCCATCTACTGAATATTAATAAAAGAAGAAGAATTAAATTTGTGTTGCAAAGAAAAAAATTATTTACTTTTATAAAAGTTTATGAAAACTTACGACAACACTATGGCAACTAAAATAAAGTTTATCCTCAAAATTTGTCCATGAATATATTTTGTAATTATTTGCAAATAAATATTCATTGATATCTCGAATGGAAGCCAAAAACAGATAACATTTTTTTATTTCTTCCAGAAAGACAATAAATCACGTTTTTTCTATTGGCTACCTTATGAAGTGCCACTCATTGACTGACTGTCCGCCGTATGAAGGATTAGTCAGACACACTTTTCAAAATATTATAAATCACATGTGATTTTGATTTGTTTTATTTTTAAATCCAATTAATTACACACACAAGCGGTGTGTGTGATAAGATACTTGAGTGTCGATAATGTCATATATTATTGTGGCCACGAAAATCTATAATTGGCTGGTTAATTGTTTTGCCATATTTTCCAGGAATTTTATTTAAAGAAGACGATTATTTTAAATTATTATTTATTTAAATTTTGAATTGAATTTTGTTAAAATATTTATGGTGAAGTTTTGCAGATAAGCAGAAGAGAGTCTTTTGGACAGCAAGAAGATAGTTTTTATAGAATCGCTAAAAGAAGTTCTCATAGACGAGATGAGGGAAATATATCCAGACGGACTGAATCGAGAGTCTCTACAGACAAGCTGAGGGTGGTCTTTATAGTCGAGCTGAGGCCGGTTCCATAGACAAGCTGAAGATGATGAAGATATAGACGAGCCGAAAGAAATCTCTATAGACGAGCTGAAGGAAATCTCTATAGACGAGCTGAAGGAAATCTCTATAGACGAGCTGAAGGAAATCTCTATAGACGAGACGAAGGCAGTCTCCTAAGAGAGCTGAAGGCGGTCTCTATAGATGAGATGAAGGCAGTCTTCTTAGAGAGCTGAAGGCGGTCTCTAGGGCTAATGGGAGAGCATCTATAGACGAGCTGAAGACAGCCTCTGTAGAATAGCTGAAGTCAGTTTCTTCAGAAAAGCTGGTATCTACAGACAAGCTAAAGAGAGAGCCTCTATAGTTGAAGGAAGGTGAAGAAGGTCTCTACAGACCACCTGAAAGGAAAGTCTCTATAGACGAGGTGAGGTCGATTTCTGTAGACCAGCTGCATGCGGTTTTTGTTGGCGAGCTGAGGACGGTCTCCATAGACAAGCTGAAGGTGGTCTATATAGAAAAGCAGAGGGCAACCTATATAGAATAGCGGAAGGTTGTTTCAACAGAAGAGCTGAAGGGAGAGTATAGCTGAAGTGAAGGTCTCTACAGACCACCTGAATCGAAAGTCTCTATAGATGAGCTGAAGTCGATATCTATAGACCAGCTGAGACGGTCTTTGTTGGCGAGCTGAGGGTGGTCTCCATAGACAAGCTGAAGACGGTCTTTATAGACAAGCTGAAGTCAGCCTCTCTGGACGAGCTTAGAGAGCGGCCTCTATAGACAAGTTAAAGAGAGAGTCTCTATAGCTGAAGAGAAGGTTTTTACCGACCAGCTGTAGGGAGAGTCTATAGATGAGCTGAAGGCGATTTCTATAGACCAACTGATGGTGGTTTCCATAGCCAAGCCGAAGACGGTCTTTATAGATAGATAGTTGAAGGCGGCCTCTATAGACGAGCTAAAGGGAGAG